AGGAGTGTGTGGATGGAGGTGGGGCGCTGGGGCTGGAAGCAGTGACTGGGAATGGGAACCAGCAGGGAAACAGGCTCCTATTGGGTCAGGGTTGGACTGGACAGGCCGGGTGTGTGGGGATCACAGTGAACGTGGGTTTTTGAAAGCTTTGCGTGTTGGTATGCGCCTATAATTCCGGCCCTTGGGAGGTGGAGGCTGAAGGATGGTGACTGCAAGTTCAACACCAGCTTAGTCTAGACAGGGAGACCCTGTTCCTCCCAAAATACCATTTACCCCAAAACTCCAACAACACAAGAGTGAACTAGAAATTCCTCATCCCAGACAAGACTCTCAGCCACACCCAGTCTGCTGAATTCTCCCTTAGGTACAAACCCCCTGGGGCATGCTTAGAAGACTGATACCTTAAGAGAAACACTCCGTGCCACCCAACTGTTGCTCACTTCAGTCAGGAAAGTCCACATGTTCCGTATGAGTAGAACCAGAAGTGAGTGGGGACTGAGAGAGAGGAGGATCTTAGAATACTGAGTTTGGGTAACATCCTTCTCCTGTGACCCTACCCTGTGTCATGGCTGGATGATCTTTCTTCTCATTGGAAAACCTCAATGGTCTGTTGTCCTCCAGTGGGCATGGCCCCCTCACCACGGCATTGGGCAGGCAGAATAGGAGGTACTAGATTGTGTATTTTGGGAGGGGTAGATGTTTGAGGGCAGGAAGTCCAGAAAGCAACTCAGACAATGGCTTTTTCCGCTGGCGTGGGTCCAGGCTGCTGGGTTTCGTCTGACCCCATAGCACCTCCTGATTTGCTTTGGTTAGCATCCCACTTATTGCTCACTAGTGGGGGAGAGGCCCATTTCCATGTAATTTAGATAGCCTGGCATCCTCTTCCACACGGAGGTGGTCATGCTTCCCTATATGGTATGTAACCGGCACTTTGATATTATAGCAAATGTGCTTTTATTTATTTATTTAGTTAGTTTTTTCGAGACAAGTTTTTTTCTGTGGCTTTGGAGCCTGTCCTGGAACTAGCTCTTGTAGACCAGGCTGGTCTCTAACTCACAGAGATCTGCCTGCCTCTGTCTCCTGAGTGCTGTGATTAAAGGTGTGCGCCACCACTGCCCGGCTTTGTGCTGTTACTTATATTTAGTCTATTTGTTCCTTAAACTGTTCTCTTGTATTCTAGGAGACCAGAAGCTTTGGTACAGCCCCCAGTCTAGCATTAGGACAATGTGCCGCTTGATATGCAAGGTGACAATATGATTAGATGGGAGAATTGAGAGCTTGGAATGTTGGAATGTTTCTAGAAAAGGAGAGTGAGCTGAGGTTAAGGAAGGAGGATCATGAGTTTCAGGCCAGCCTTGGCTATATAGTGAGACCTCATCACAACAACAAAGAGAAAGAATGGGCTGGGTGGTGGTGGCACAAGCCTTTAGTCCCAGCACTCAGGACAGACAACTACTTTCCAGCTCACCATATGGGTAGAGGACTCAGCATTGTCTCACCCACATGCCCAATTTATTGTTAGCCTTGCTCTTGTGATTCCAGGGTCTGGAATGTGCAGTCATCTTTATTGTTGTCCAGGCCACTGAAGGCCTGCACAAGTTCCTCAGTTCATCTTAACTTTCTGCAGTTCCCGTCTTTTCAAGTCCTGCCCTTGTTGTCTGGATTACCCAATCTAGCACTTAATTACCCAGGGTATTTATAGAGTTCCTGTGAAATTTAGACTGAATTCATCTGAATGTATATTTGAAAGAAGTAACCATAAATATTTTATGAAAAAAGATTACTTAGAATTATTTTTAAAAAGATTTATTTTTATGTATATAAGTGTTTTGCCTGCCTATATTTATGTACACTACATAAATGCCTGGGACCTGGACTAGGAGAGGGCACTGGATCCCCTGGAACAGGAATTACAGATGGTTGTGATTGTAAGCTACCATATGGGGACAAACATGGGTCTTCTGCAAGGGCAGCAAGTACTTTTTTTTTTTAAGATTTATTTAGTTATTTTATGTATATGAATGTTTTATCTGAATGTATACTTTGTCAGAAGAGGGCATTGGATCCCACTATAGATGGTTGGGAGCCACTATGTGTTTGTTGGGAATTGAACTCAGGACCTCTGGAAGAGCAGGTAGTACTCTTAACCTCTGAGCCATCTCTCTAGCCCCACACCAGCCCCACCCAGCAGCAAGTGCTCTTAACCAATGAACCATTGCTGTACCCTTCACCCCCCATAGAGTTTTGTTTTGTTTGGAGACAGGGTCTGTGTAGCCCTGGCTGTTCTGGAACTCACCCAGATCTGCTTGACTCTGTTTCCAAGTGAAAAAACCAAAGACATTCTCCACCATGTCCAGCCATACATAGAATTCTTTCTTTTTTTCTTTTCTTTTCTTTTTTTTTTTGTGACAGGGTTTCTCTGTGTAGCTCTGGCTATCCTTGATCTCACAGAGATCTGCCTGCCTCTGGCCCCAAGTGCTGGGATTAAAGGCATGTGCCACCACTCCCCAGTTCATAGAATTCTTAATGTTGACATTTGTTGTTAATGTGCTTTTATTATGCAGAGAAAATATTTGTTATATTAGAAATAGGATGAATTTGAATGCTGACTCTGCAATTTGAAAGATAGTCCACAGCTATCTATTGGTGATATATGCCTAGAGTCCTAGCATTCAAGAGGCTGAGGCAGGACTGAGAGTTCCATATCAGCCTGAGCTATATAGTCTTGTCTAAAAAAAAAAAAAAAAAAAAAAAAAAAAAAAAAAGGGATGAAACGGGTGGCACTCTGGAGGCAGAAACAGGTGGGTCTCTGAGTTCTAGGCCAGCCTGGTCTACAGAGCAAGTTTGCAGGACAACTAGGGCTACACAGAGAAATCCTGTCTTGAACTACCAAAACAAACACTGTCAAGTTATATAATCTTTTGTGTTCTCAATATATTCATCTATAAAACAAGAGACATACTTTTTTCTAAGACTTGTTGGGAGAATTAAAGCTCAATGACAATGATGAGAGACTGAAATCCATTGAAAGCATTGAAAGTCTGAGTTGCTCTTTCTGAATCTGACAAAATGTGTTTCTTTTTTGTGCCCCCCCCCCCCAGACAGGGTTTCTCTGTGGCTTTGGAGGCTGTCCTGGAACTAGCTCTTGTAGACCAGGCTGGTCTCGAACTCACAGAGATCCCCCTGCCTCTGCCTCCCCAGTGCTGTGATTAAAGGCATGCACCACCACTGCCCAGCTCACAAACTGTGTTTCATAGCCTAGTTCTCAGTACAGACATCACTGACCATTACCCAGCACTCCACAGCCCACATCTTAACACTTGTCTCCTCCACTACACCAGGTTCTGGAAGGTAAAGGTTATTTTTACTTCCATTTTCCCATGACCTACTACATTGTTTGATTAGTAAAATATTATTTGAACACATTGTCTTTAAAGTCTGGGATTATAGCTCAGTTGTTTAATGAGGATGTATGAAGTCCCAGGTTTGATTTCCAACTCCCAACTCATACGGAAATGTAATGGTGGCACATGCCTCTCTAATCCCAGCACTCGGGAGGCAGAGGCAGGGAGATCAGGTCACTTAAGCTATATACTGAGTTTAGGGCCAGTTTTGGCTACATGAGACCTCTTTAACAAACAGGCCTGGTGGTGGTGGCTGGAGATTTGGCTTAGTGGTTAATAGCATTTGTTCTTGCAGAGAACCTGGGTTCAATTCTCAGCACTCACATGGCAGCTCACAAGCCCCAGGAGATCTAGTGCCCTCTTCAGACCTCTGGGGGCAATAGACACATGTGTGGTGCACATATGTATGTACACACAGGCAAAACACTTATGCACATTAAATAATAAGTACCTTTTTTATTTTTTGAGACAGGATTTCTCTGTGTAGCCCTGGCTGTTCTGGAACTCACTCTGTAGACTAGGTTGGCCTCACACTCACAGAGATCCGCCTGCCTCTGCCTCCTGAGTGCTGGGACTAAAGGTGTGCACCACCACCGCCCAGGCCACCTATATATCTTGACTGCAACTTTTTGGAAGAGACTAAGTCGGAACCATCCAGCTACTCTGCTCTTGAATTATTTGAGTCAGAATCTTAGGTATGTATCATGATAGAACCTTGCCTGTTTTGACTGTGACTTTGATCTTCCTGTTTAAATTTCCCTGAGTGCTGGGATTACAAGCACATGACACCAAGCCCAGTAATTTGGTAACAGAGGATCTAAGCCAGGGCTTCATGCACTGTAGGTAAACATTACATTCCAGCTGCTTTTAAATTCTTGGCCACTGATACTGAGAGAGAATATTCATTGTTTTACATAAATAGAGTTGGGTATAACATTATACACCAATAACTAGTGTAGATTATACATTCATTGAAAATTTAAGGATCATGCTTTAAACTTATTTTGCCTCAAATTATTGCATTAACTGCCCGTCCCATGAAAAGATGAGAACATACTAAAACAGCTGGGAGAAATGACAGGAAAAATTGACATTCCCTTTGACAATGAAATAAAGCAACTGGATGAAAAAGACATTAGTCATTCTGACAGAATTTTCTTCCTCGAGGCTGAAGATTTCCCAGGGTGTCGAGAACAGATGAGTATTGTTATTTGTCATTACTGGCGTCTCCCTGAACTCCGTTCTCAGCACTTAACATGGGTTAGCTTCTTAAGCCTGGGCACAGAGGGAAAACTCTACCAAGCAGAAACTTTCTAATGTCTCATGGAAGCTCACCTGAGCAAGGGAAGTAGAGCTCTACTGGAGGAGAAGTAAAGGAAGTGTAACCTTTTTTCAAAGGTGGCATCCCAGGTCCTTTCACAGGTCCATCCCAAGTGGACACTGTCAGCCAATGTAATTGGGAATGGGTGGAGACTGGCAGAGGAGGACAGCTCTAGGGGGTAAATGGGGCAGAGGTCTGACTTAATAGACACAGTAGAGGCTACCCAGACAAGCATCCAGAGTCTCTGTTTGCAACAGTAGCTTTATTCTTTTTCTTAAAATTTGGAACGCTTCATAAATTTGTGTGTCATCCTTGCACAGGGGCCATGCTAATCTTCTCTGTCATTTCAGATTTTCATATGTGTGCTGCTGAAGTGATCACTACTCTTTCTTTTATAAGACTGACTCAAGCCCTTGACCGTCTCAACATAAAGAAGATAGACAGCAGATCTGACTTCTGATCTTCACTTCTCTTTAATAGTTGTTCAGTGATGGGAATAGAAATTATGGGAGTAGGGCATTGGGAGGTCAGAACTTTTATTTCCCCACTCTTATGGTATCCAGTTCCCTTAGCTTAGACACAGCTTCTGTTGTGGTTCTGCCAGTGGTAAACTAGACACCTTCAACACTCACTTCTTATTTGCAGAGCAGGTGCTAGAGGGAGAGATACACCATCTACCCCAAAGGCCTAGAAAAAAGGTAACAACTAATATGGGATAGACTTCAGGCATTTTGCTAGAGTGGTGGTGCAGGCTGGTACTTGGGAAGTGGAGGCAGAAGGATCCAGAGTTTATTAGCATCTCCAACTTCCAGGTTTTTGCCCCCCCCCAACAGAGAAGAGTGGCTTTGCCACTGTTCTCAGGTAGAGCACTGCTCCCTTTCCTGGTCTTTGTTCCCCAGCTGCTAGCAAATAGAAACTGAGTAATTTCTCCACAACCAAGAGAGAGCTCCTGCTTCATTCAGTTTGTGGTGGGAAAGCTGACAGACACAATCTGTGGAATCCCCTCCACCTTGGCAAGCTGATTGTATCCAACTGGTAGCAATGGCCTTGTGCCCACAGGCAAGCAAAGAGCATATGTATTAATTTGAGGCCTGCTGTCCATGAATGCCAGGTGGCTGAGTGTAGACCTATACTGCACCTGCGGGTCCTGGTTTGAAACTCTTAGATTTGTATATGTGTGAGTTTCAGAAGGGCAGTTTTTATACAGACTTAAAGGATTTGGTACTGAAGATATAGATGACTTTTTTTTTTTGAGTTGTTGGTCAATGGGGGTCCTTTAACCCCACCCAAACATTATAGGCTAAGAGCCACTGCTCTTGCTAATGTCTCAGTCAGTGTTCTATTGCTGTGAAGAGACACCATAACCACAGCAACTCATAAAAGAAAGCATTTAGTGGGGACTTACTTATGGTTTCAGAAATTTAGTTTATTATCAGCACGGCAGGAAGCATGGTGGCATGCAGGCAGACATGGTGCTGAAGGAGGAGCTGAGACTTCCATATCTGGATCTATACACAGTAGGGAGAAAGAGCCACTGGGCCTGACTTGGGCTTTTGAAACCTCAAAGTCCACCCCCAGTGACACAGTTTCTCCAACCAGGCCACACCTCCAACTCCTTTTAAATATTACCACTCCGTAGGCATTTGAATATATGAGCCTATGGGGGCCTTTCTTCTTCAAACTATCAAGGTTACCCTCCAGAACTTGATGATAAGATCCCATCGCTGAAGATATCACATATTTGAGTCATAGGTCATAGAGAATTCAAGCTGGCTTTCACCTGGAACCTCTCTACCCCCGCTGGCTAGCTTTCACAGTCCTAGAAGGAACTACGTACACTACTAGTTGAGAAAAATAATCAAGTCTTACCCAGCAGTGACCCCTGTAAGCTACATTAATGACTGGTTTGGCATTTATGTCCACTGGTACACTAGTGGTGCAAATGCTGTGGGAGTGACCAATCACATTTTGGATTTAAAACCAGGTCCATAAGATGGAACTAGTACCATTAACTGGGCCAAAAAATAAATCCATGGTTAGCTAAGTGATAGGTCCTGGGGAGAACCTAATTAAATAGACATAGTAATAACCCCCCACCTCAAGCTCTTATTTTCATATCAACAAAGTAGTTCATTTCCCATTCCTTACCAGAGAAGCTTCTTTTTATAGCAGATGGTGACTAATACAGAGACCACAGCTGGTCAGTGTGCAAAGGGTAAGACTGTTGAGTGCTAAATGGAACAGTCAGGTTACAATCCCTCTCCCCAAAGCTCAGGAATCATTGTAAGTGACAGGGCAGAAAGATTTTAGGAGCCAGAGGTAGTGGATGTCTGCAGTGAAACCATATTTGCTGGACATGACAAGGCCTTTCTACACGTGAACTCATAGATGCTGTGACTACTTGCATAATGCCTGTACAAGATCAAGCCAATCAAAATCCCAATACAGATGGTAAAGAATTTCTATTCCTGAGGAGCTACTACCATTGGTGGCTGTTGGGGAAAGGAGAGTCAGCATCCTTTAGGAATATGAATCTTTAGATGCTATCCACCTTCCAGTAGATTATCCTATACTCATATACACACAGGCATCACTAACAAGATTCAGCAGCTTAAACAAAAAGCCGGCATGGTGGTGCACACCTTTAATCTCAGTGCTTGGAGTCAGAGGCAGGCAGATCTCTGTGAGTTTGAGGTCTGCTCTACACAGAGAGTTCCAGACCAGCCAGGACTACATAGTGAGACTCTATCAAAAGCAGTGACAAAAACCAAAACCAACCAACCAAACAAACAAACAAAAGATTGAGAGAGCTCTTGAGTGGGCCTGCACTTGAAACTGGTCAGGAGAAGTGATGGGAGGATAGGGTAAGAATTGGAGGGGAAGGAAAGAGTGTGGACTCGATCAAAATGCATTATATGCTTGTATACTATTCTTACTGGGGGCTGTGAGACAGCTAAGCAGATAAAGGCACCTGCTGCCAAGCCTAATAACCTGAGTTTGAATCCTAGGACCCACGTGGTGGAAGGGGAGAACTGAATCCTACAAGTTGTCATCTGACTTCCTCATGTGCACCATAGCATGTGTGTATCCCATGTACACAAAGTGAAAAACAAAGGACACTTTAGCTGTGGCATAAAAGATACTGACATTTCCAGATTGTCAGGAGTGAGAATACCCCACTGCCAACCTAGAATCTATGGACAGCCCTGGGTCTGTGAGTCTGTGGTTAGGAAAGCTTTTTTTTTTTTTTTTTTTTTTTTTTTTTTTTTTTTTTTTTAGATAGGTTTTCTCTATGTAGCCCTGGCTGTTCTGGAACTCGATTAGGCTGATCTTTAATTCACAGAGATCCACTTGTTTCTGCCTCCTGAGTGCTGGGCTTAAAGGCATGCACCACCACTGCCTGACAGGATTTCACATATCCCAGGATAGCCTCTAACTTATTTAGCCAAGGATGACCTTGATTCTACTTTAAGTGCTGGGATTACAGGCCTGTGCTATCATGTTTAGTTTATGGGGTGTTGGGAATTGAACTCAGGGATTTGTGTATGCTAAGTAAGCACTCTACCAACTAAGCTATGCCTCTAGCCCAAGAGGACAACATTTCTAAGGGAAATGAGGTTTGGGTGCTAGAATGAACACGTTACAAAGCAAAAAGAGTACCCTTGTTTATGTTTTCACAGGCTACTTCTCCATGGTGATTTCCAGAGCAGCCTCGGGCCACGTTGGATTTGATCGCCACCTGCTGGACACCAAGGAGTTCCAAAGCTATGTCTCAGCTTTCTCAGAATTTCACCCTTATTACAGGGTTAAATTCTTCCTTTTAGAATCTGTTCAGGTGAGTTTTTTTCCTCTTCGGAGCCAGACCTGTCTTTTCAGGGAGACTAGGCACCCCCACTTTCCAGGCTGCCTTTTCCCCATCCAAATATTTCCTTTTTTTCTCCTGAGGCTGGATAAAGAGCTTCACAGTTCCTTGATTTAGGTGCCTCAGGGTGGCTGAACTCTGCTCTGTTTTGGGAAAACAAACTCAAAACAACACAGAGTACTCTTGATACTAACTGCCTGTCTCTGTGTGTTATTCACACACCAACTAAGCAAAAGAATTTCAGGGGGCACTGGCTAGCTAGCCTAATCCAAATTAATTTGAATGCTATCAGGAAATAGCATCAGACCCAAGACTGTCCCCTGCCTTTAGAAGCCAGCGGCTATCCTTTGGCTGTTCTGTTTCTGACAAACTGGCTATAAAGTGAGGTCCCCACAACCCCCATTTCTGAGTTGATTAATGTGCTTGAGTGGCTCCCCAAATTCTGGGAAACACACTAGCTTATCATAAGGAATATTAAAGGATACAAAAAGACACTCAGGATGAGTAAGGCATAGTTGAAGGGTTACAGAGTTCCCATGCCGCAGGAATCTGTCATATACTTTTCTCCAGACCTGTTATCTTCCAGAGATCTGATCAGCTGATCTACCAAAGCTCTCCAAGCCCCATCCATTGGGATCTTCCGAAGACTTAACATTGTCTCCAACCCCAAGGAGACCAGATGAGGACACCCAGCAAGGCATGTCTGCTTCTGCAGTCTTCTTGGCCTCTATACAGCATTCCTCCTTCCAGGTATGGACAAACCTCTTTGGAATGAGGTAAAGGGCAGGCCAGAGAATTTCTTCACGGCCAGTTCCAGGACAGAAAGGTAGGGAAAGATTACAGTTCCTATGACCTGATTTGGGGGAAAGTAATTCTAATTGTTTACAGCCTTTTCTGGGGAGGGTAGATATGAGCCAGGAGCTACAAATAAAATCCAAAAAAGTATCTATCATACAATCACACCCTACTGCCAACAGGAAGCAGCTGCGTAGATGAGGTGGACCACAGGATACTTGGGCAGGAAGAAGCTACTGCCTTTGCTTGGTGTTCTGTCCCTTCTATCTGATTGAAATATAGGGAACTGGTCCTTGCTCATTTAGCACAGACAACTCCACTAGAACCCATTAAAGTCACTTAGTGTCCTGGAAACGGTGGACTAGCTATTGCATGAAGATCTTCGGCTGCATCTTCAGAAGGGAAAGTAATTTGTGAGTTGTGACAGTTCTAAAATAAATCCTTCATTGGTGAAATGGGGACAGCATTAATCTAATCCCCCAAATTGGCCAGGCTGTACAATATCCATGCAGTTCACAAGGCTGGGAAAACAGATGTAGAAATCTCTCCATTTCCCAGCCAACTCTGCAATCTAGCTTGGTCAAAAAGCAGTTCTTGTTTTCTGAATGCCTCCTTAACATACACCTCTCAAATATTTTTCAAATTTTTGCTTTAAAAGGAAGAAATCAAGGAAGATTTAAGAAAATGTTGTGGCTGGGGCTAGAGAGGTGGCTCAGAGGTTAAG